TCTTCTTCTTCTTCTTCTTCTTCGTCGTCGTCGCCTTGTCTTCTTCTCCATCGTCTCCTTTTCCTCCTCCTCCTCCTCCTCCTCCTCCTCCTCCTCTTCTTCTTCTTCTTCTTCTTCTTCTTCTTCTTCTTCATCTTCTTCGTCTTCTTCGTCTTCTTCTTCATCGCCTGGTCCTCCTCCTCCTCCTCCTCCTCCTCCTCCTCCTCCAACCCCTCTTCTTCTTCTTCTTCTTCATCGCCTTATCTTCTTCTCCATCGTCTCCTTTTGCTCCTCCTCCTCCTCCTCCTCTTCTTCTTCTTCTTCTTCTTCTTAACCGCCTCGTCCTCCTCCTCCTCCAACTCCTCCTCCGACTCCACCTCCGTCGTCTACTCCTCGTCGTCCTCCTCTTCGTCCATCGTCTCCTTTTCCTCCTCCTCCTCTTCCCCCTCCTCCTCGTCCTCCATCGCGCCGACCTCCTATTCCGCCATCTCCGACTCATCGTCCTCCACGTCGGAACCATCCTCCCGTGACCCGTGTACGCTCGCTCCCCCTCCCTCTGCCGACCCGTTTCGCCCGCCTGTGTCCCTCCCGCCTTTGCCCCAGTCTCGTACGTTCCCCCTTTCGTCCCGCCCTCCACTTCGCCAGCCCGTGGGCTTCAGACCCGCCATAGCGCAATCAATCAATCTACCAATCAATCAATCAATCAATCAATCAATCAATCAATCAATCAATCAATCAACCAATCAATCAATCAATCAATCAATCAATCAATCAACCAATCAAACATTCAATGAATACGTGAATGGATCCGTCGTTTTCGACGGATCCTTGTTTCAAGATCAGTCGATATGGATCCGTCGAAAACGACGGATCCATTCACGTATTCATTGAATGTTTGATTGGTTGATTGATTGATTGATTGATTGATTGATTGATTGGTTGGTTGATTGGTTGATTGATTGATTGATTGATTGATTGATTGATTGATTGGTTGATTGGTTGATTGATTGATTGATTGATTGATTGATTGATTGATTGATAGAAGTAGTTCGTTCATTCATTTTTCTTATTCTTTTTTCTCTTTTCTTTTTCTTCGTCATAGTCTTCTCCTTCATATCGTTGTACTACACAGTTGTGTTGTACTGCACAGTTGTACTGCACAGTTGTGTTGTACATGCATGTCAGTGTGAGGATTGCATATGTACTAGGCTAAGGCCCCCAGCAAGCCTCGTGCCTGCCCTAAGTGAAGGCGGGCCTGTAAATGCCCAGAAGGCCCTGCATTCGACATTTCATTAAGTGGGGGCTATCCAGTTTCAGCATGCCAGATGGTTGGGTGCACGCCACTTCGTTGGATGCACGAAGTCCAAAATTCTGCAAACGCAGGCTGGATGCTGAATTTGCCAAAGGGAAACCGGTCCACTGTCTGAATCTGGACGATGATCAGGATGAAAGAGGCACAACTGTGCAGCCTGGGCCCTTAACTGTACTGCGCTTGGGCAGAGCAACTGGGACCCAGGCCCACGCTATCTACTTTTGCTTTGTCTACATGGACTTCAGTGTGATTTGCAGTTTGGATTTCTGATCTTTATCCACATTCATATTCCTTGCATCAGTGGGAGATCCCCCAAAAAGTGGCATAATGCCAAAAAACATTTTTTTTCCATAAATGCTCCGAATCAACCCAAATTTTTTTGGGGGATCTCCTAGTCTTGCGCAAGAACATCCCATTTTTTTAATTTTTTTTAAAAAAAATTTAATGCCAAAAACCACTTGTCCGGGATCCCGGACAACTCCCCTACCGGACGGTTGGGGGAGACGTCCGGTCATCGGACGACTGGTAACCTAGAAAAAAACTTTTTTTTTTTTTTTTTTTCGCCCGGGTGCCCGGCCGGGCGTGAGAATCTTCCTAGTTTATTAATATATTATCAAAATCGCTACCAGTAGTCTGGGACTGGCATCCTTCTCCTTTTCTTTTTTTTTTTTTACACAACACCCCTGTCGTTGCTAGTGGTGCTGATAAGAGCAGACACCGCTACCACTACCATTCTCAATGTCCTCAAACTGCATTTTGAACCATGCTCTCCACAAAAACGATTGCAGTTTTTGTGCTTTGGAACTTTAAAATTCGAATTCCTGCCGTTGTGCACGTTTTGTCAGCCAGTCTGCTRTTCGGTTGTCATTAWCTTGWAGAACCACAACAGGTCTCTGAGGAATCTGATGGAAATCAATTCCCCGTAGATTTGCATTAAGGGGAATTGATTTCCATCAGATTCCTCAGAGACCTGTTGTGGTTCTWCAAGWTAATGACAACCGAAYAGCAGACTGGCTGACAAAACGTGCACAACGGCAGGAATTCGAATTTTAAAGTTCCAAAGCACAAAAACTGCAATCGTTTTTGTGGAGAGCATGGTTCAAAATGCAGTTTGAGGATATTAAGAATGGTAGTAGTAGTAGTAGTAGTAGTAGTAGTAGTACATGCTGCACATGCACACACGGGCCATTTTGCAGGCCCGACGTCGTTCAGGCCAAAAACCTGAATTTCGGGCTTTAAGCCTGATATCCAAGGCTTACAGGCCCCGCCGACGGTTCAGCCTGACAGCCCGAGAAAGGACCTACAGGCTCCAGCCTGTTTCCCTACAGGGAAACTTCCAGGCTCTTGCCTGGAAGCTTCCTTCTGACAAGGCCTACAAGCCCCAGCCTGTTTCCCTACAGGGAAACTTCCAGGCTCTTGCCTGGAAGCTTCC